ATAAATAAATAAAGTATCTTAACAGGCAAGAAATGATTAGTCACCAAAAGCTGTCTCACCGCTCTCTAGTTATAGACAATGCGGTGAAATGACCGCGAATACATATGCTACTGCAATACTCCATAGCTTTTATTTCCCCCGTTTTACAGTATACTATGTTAACATTGTGAATACACACCATTTCAGAAATCGACTATTGTGCGAGACAATATTGACGAAATCATTCATTTAAAATCTTTTATTGAAAAATACATTCATGTTCACTAGCACGCGCAGGCTAAGATAAGAGATAGACAGATCAAATGAGACAGGAGTAGGGAGAACTAGAGGTAGAAATAACGGAGAACTGGGGTGAAAGCACAGGCCAAGGGACACACGAGAGCGCAACTTTAGAAATAAAACCTTAAAATTAAGCATTTCACAACCTGACTTTCTTATTTTTACTTAGAAATATGATGCATCTTACACTTATTTTTGGCAGGTTATTCCATTGGGGTTAACGGCCAAACGACCCGGAACACAAATAGTCTCTCAGTGGAGACTTGCTCCTCCATTGTGGTTAAAACCCGTAGTAAAACAAGAGGACAGTTTAGACCAAAAACAAACAAGGATTTAAATGAATGATACTGCTCTTCTGATTGTAACCCTTCTCATAGTAATACTAGTCACACCTTAGCCTAGCTACTTAGGGAATTTGCAAGTGTAGCAAATTTTTCTCAACAAGACACAGAAAGCCCCAGCAGTCTGATAATATTATAACAGATAAAAAGTGTATAATTAGCTCAAATGTGGTATTTTAACTAGTAATAATTCGAAAGAGAATTTTGTCAAAAGAAGTACAAAAATATATATTTTAATTTGAGATATTGTCTCTGCTTGATATAAAAAGCAACTTCATGACTACTTGACATAAAAGCTACACGCGTTTAAACGCTAGGATCAGTTTAAAGTATCTGGAATAACTAGAATTATGCATACAAAATTCCAGAGAGACCATGAATTAGAAGAATTACATTTGCTTTTAAACAATCCAATTTCATCATGATACAAGTTGTTTGTTTAACTCGACAGCTCCCTTCACTAAGTCGGGAGCTTTACACACACTCATTAAAACGATTATTCACGATCTGTCGAATGTTTTCTTTCACTAAGCAAATATGTTACTACAATATAGACTGGGGTATACCACGAACCCTCTTCCAAAATAGCCTGTTGACCCAAAGACAAAGAAGATTAGCCTACTTGGTCTAATAGCAAAGTAAATCTTGTTTTATATTGCTAAAGGCCTTTTTTGTTTGTTTGTTAAAAAAAATGATTAAAAAAAACCCTATATGAGCTATATGACATGATAACCTACATTTCTACTCACTATTTTGACAATAGTGTGATTTTTTTTTGATAATTATGTACATTATGATTTTATTGTGCTTAATATTTTGTTAAAAGGCTTTAGTAGTGACTGGTTTTAATGTTACTGTTTTTGTCGATTTATAATAATAATAATAATAATGGTTAACCATTTCACAGCTTATTTGTGCCTTTATTTGTTAAAATATTAGAAGGCTGTTTAGTGGTTTAGTTGGAACAAATTTCTGTATTATCCCTTGTGTTTTTTTTTTCACAGCTTGTAAATGATATTACAGTTCGTCTTGCCACAGGGAAAACTAAGTTTACGAGAGGCCATGTATTTTGCAAAGATATGAAGTTAATGTCACTTCAGTTGTGCGTCATTCTAGCGCCCTCACTCTGCCTGGCTCGTCTGGCTCATGTTACTTGAAGAGAGGAAGCGTCCTTTTTGCATTTTACAAGTATTTTAATGGTTCAGAGTTGGATAAGCTTCGTTTTACCACACCATTATCTGTGAATTGGCGAAAGCGAATAAGCATTATAATACTAATTTATATCACAAATTCTAACTTGGCCTCTTCATAGGGCTGTAGTGACATTTTATAAAACAACTAATACCAAGCAGCAAAATTGGACTATCATAGTCACCAAGGAAGATTTTTTTTTTACATATACATTTCATGTGCAAATAGCAGAACGGAATATTTAAGCACAAGCTGTCGCAAGATATTCATAACAGATTGAAAGTTTGTTGGAATAGATGATCGTACAGGTAGCACTTTTGCATTAGCGTTTCAGTCATAGAGCTCAAATAATTATTTCAGTGTCATTTTATGAACAAATCAAAATGTTTTATATTCAGTCAGTGACATAATTATTTATTGAAGCTATAATTTATATGCGAAACCACGTGCAGGGCAAACAAATATTTGGTACAGTATCGCTTTTGTAGGCTACGTGTTCTGTTGTATTTACTATTTTAATTAATGCATTAATTTTAGCAGGATACTGCGATATTAGGATGCTGATGTGCTTGCTTGCTGTCCCCAGTTCCCCCCGCAGCCTCTCTGTGCCTCGGGGTAATAAGCAGAAACCACGCCTTTTGTGTAGCCTGTGACTAAACCCTGCTTACAAGACCTTGGCAAAAGACACAAAGGAAAAATAACTATTATTTCAAGTGCATCGCTTCATTAAGTCTGCATAAACGTCTGTACAATTCAGTACAAGCGTTTCGTCTTGGGTCCACAGCGTCGAACCGAAAATTATTTCCTTGCAGATTTCAATTAATGGTGCGATTCTAGGCCTCGTTTCTGCTTCAGGTAGAATGGTTAATCTTTGTGTTGAAAACTCACGCTGTTGTCCGGAAGCAGATGCAAACCAATTCAACTCAGAGCAAACAATCACTGCCCAAAGATCATCATTTTGCTGTCACAGATTCCCACTAAAAATGCTCTGATCGTGATGCCATCATTTAACATCCACCACATGCAAGCTCTGCTTTTGATACATAGCCTACACTCTTAGTAATTATTACGTGGTTAATGACTTCAGACAAATGCGGAATAAAATAGAAGTGTAGAGAACTAGAATAATGAAAATTGAAAACATTTAAATGGAAATTTACATTACATTTAATTCCACATAGTTATTTTGCATCTGTATAAATATATATGCACCTATGCACGTATAAATGAGGACGGAGGACACTTAAAATAAAACATTAAAAAGAAAAGCATTTTGCAACTCAGCAAATAGGCTACACCAAGCCAAATTATCGTCAAATGGAAAAAAATATATTTTTGCATTTCTATTAAGAAAAAAAAAATATATATATATATATATATATATATATATATATATTTTGTTTCTTCCGGAACATGATTGTTGCACTACACTTCAGGTGTTGAACGTTTAAATAACAAGCGGTTTTCAAAGCAGATCTTTATTTTTGTCTTTTATTATAAAAAAAAAAAAAATATATATATATATATATATATATATATATATATATATTGTGCTTCTAAATTTGACCTCTGCTTTTTTGCTTTTTGTTTTTTGAGTGGTCACCCGTTTAACATTTGAGCGATAATATCTTGCAGGGAGATATTGAGTTCCACTGGTCTATTGTATAAAGCACAGAGGTTATTGCATTACGGTTGGGCACATTTAGCACAATGTCTCTTTTAAAAACATGAACAAATTACTGGACTTCAAGTATTGAAAGCTAAGTTGTTGATATTATTGCAACTAATGACACTATTGTTGGCTGAAAAACGAGCAGATAATGATTTTCAGGCGTTATGCATTGCTTTGTATGGCCTCTACAACCAGGAGACGCTTGTAATAAATGTGTAATAAGCTACAGAAAAATATTTCAGAACACAATAGCATGTAGTAACGCAATGAAATGGAAGAATTTGATTTTCAGGCACATTATTCAGGTAGGGTTGTTAGGCCTACGACCTAATATTATATAATATATATAATATTATATTAGTCTAGTGCCATTGTTTGCTCTTTTTTTTTTTTTTTTAGCTTATCGCTAAAAGAGTTAAAACAGCCCAAAATATATATATTTTTCTTTGTATCGTTTTTTTGTCCCCTTTCGTAAAATAAATATGTAAGTTTATGTTTGTAACACATTAGGACGAGGCCTTAAGGTATAGGCTATAGGCTACCCCGTAAACTGTCGCTTAAATGTTTTATTAAACACACTATGCTAATCAGTATCTTGTCAGACAGCTACTATAAATGCTAGCTCTTCAAAAAAGACAAAATGTTCGTAATAAATGTACTTAACCTACTTTTTTTTATTTTGTTCGGTTAACAGTTTAAGCGACAAACACGGGCATAAGACCACAAAATCACAACCATGGAATTTAAAGACGACATAGACAATCACTCAATATTTTATGAGGCATTTACTCAACACGGGTTACACGTTCGCAAAAGTTAACCTATAATTACAACAGGTATTGACATTTCACTAATTACAAAAAGAATGTGACCTGCATGATGGTGACCACATACAGTAAATATGCAAACACAAGCTAAAAGCATTCATTACGTCTGTCCCCTTCAGAGCTGTCTGTAATGTTAGGAATACTGAAAAAAACAACAACTATATTTTGTTGATTGATACCCATTCTTTGGTCTACAAAGAAACTGTATTATTAATATATGTATAAAATGCACTATAGATGCATTATTCAGTCTGTATTAAAAACAAAACAACAAGGAGCCACGGATTTGAACGGGCATTGTGCACTTATAGAACATATTTATTTAAAAATGAAAATAAAACTTTGTGTTAAACTTGGAAAAATCTCACCCCACCAGTGCTTATGACATGATAATACTGCAGACATGACTGGAGGTTGTTCTGTAATGTATTAGATATTTTAACATTTAAAATTAGACAAAACTGCAACCACTGTTTAAATAAACATTCTTAAGTAATCATACTGCCTTTCCCAAAAAAAAAAAAAAAACCTACGCTTCATCCTTTTTTTTACTCTGGTCACATTGCACGTTGCTGACAGTGGAATAATAAACAGTTCCGCGACACTCAACGTTTGTATACAGTCAGAAATAAATGCATAATAATAATAGTAATAATACAAAATACCTGGAATTCGGCTTGCATTGTCCATTCATTCTCTTTAATTTTTTTCATTTATATATATTACAGTGTAAATTGGTGTAAAATGTTCACTTACAGTCTGATCCTGTGGATGCTAGTTAGTGTATAAGTGGATTTGATGTTGACCCTAGATTCGGATGTGTGAAGTAGTCAGAAAGTCCGCTGGAAAGACCGGAGGAAAAACTAGGTAGGGAAGGCCTTAAGGAGTCACACGGGAGAGAGGAGGCCGTTTGCGGGGAGGAGGAAGAGGCGGCCCGGGAGCTCATGGATGTGCTGCTCTGGGAGGCCATGGATGGGTGAGGGACGTGGGGGAAGAAATAACTGGTCTGGCCCGCCAGTAGGTTCACTGAACACGGATTCAAAGAGTACGTCCCGGAGCAGGGTACGGAGAGCCCACATGGCACAGAGGCGGCCAAAGCGGCCGCTGTGAGGTGGTGTGTGGCGTACGGAATCTCTCCATTCACGAGTCTGTCAACAGTCAAGCCATTGGAGGCAGGGAAAGAGTGATTGTTCCCCAAACTGTTTTGAGTCAACATTGTGCTATAGGACATTGGGTGACTAGGGTAAGCCGAGGACGTGCCGTTGTAACCCAACGCGCTGCTCGCCCTCGGATGGTGGAGTGAGAGGAACGGCGACATGGGCCAATATAAAGAGCCAGCTCTATCCATAAATGTCAGTCCGGTGGAAGTAAGCCTCGCGCCCCTTTTAAACGCCAGCTTTGCCCTAGAAGTGGTCGATCTGCGCCGAAGTTTGCCCGTCGTGCCGCCAATGAACACGTCGTCGCTGGAGGGATCAAGCATCCAGTAGTTCCCCTTCCCGGGGTCATCGTAGTGCCGGGGCACTTTAACAAAACATTTGTTCAAACTCAAGTTGTGTCTGATGGAATTCTGCCATCCCTGCTTGTTCTCCCGGTAATACGGGAAATTTTTCATAATGAACTCGTAAATGCCGTTAAGGGTTAATCGCTTCTCCGGACTCTGCCGAATAGCCATCATAATCAAAGCGTTGTAGCTAAAAGGTGGTTTCTCGTACTTGCCGTTTTTCTTGTCGCCTTCTTTGCCTCCTTCGCCTTCTTTCGAGTCCCGTTTCTCTTCCTGCTTCTCCTTCTCGTCCGTGCACGAGGAGTCGTGGGATGAATTGTCACTTTTAGCGCAAGTGTTCTCCGACTTTTGCTCCTGTGCTTGGACAGGTAAAGGAGTCTTCTCCCCTTCCTCATGCACCGCTCTGTGGTGGTGTTGGTGGTGATGATTGTGGTTGTCGCTTTGGACGGCTTCGGGAACCAGACTGTTTATAGTGAACGATGATTTAGGAATCATTTTGACTTCTTTCCTTTCTCCCATATCCAACATCACAAGTAAGATACAGTAGCAACAACCAGCAGCAGCGGCAGCAGCAGTTGGACTTCAAATCTCTTGCTCTGGCAACTCCTCTAATTAAAAAACACAACAACTATTTCATGTTCCTTAAAAACACGTCGATATGAGACAGCTAGCTACAATTAATTACGGAGCCACAGACACTAAGCTGTAAACAAAATAGCTTGAACCTTTTTAGAGACTGCAGCCAACCACAGCAGCATAAGTATTAACCGCGCAGCCAATCATTGAGCAGTTCTTAGCGCCTGTTCCAGTGCGTAAGGATACACAAGATCCACCAATGCTCATGCCCAGTCAACAATGGCTTTCATTTCCCCCAGTAAACTCCTATCAAGAAAACAGACCACATAACCTCAATCAATTATTTTTTTTATAATTGTAGAGTGCTGTTTCAACATATCCATGCGTCCTCAATTTGTTTTCATACCGCAGGGGGAAAAACAAAAGGGACTCAAAGGTAGCCACAAAAAACAGGTACTACTTCCTGTATTAGAAATGTATGGCTTTTAATATAGACATGGAGCAACAGCACATGGGTATAACATTAATTGATAGAACTCGCTGAACATCGACAGTAGTCTATACTTGCAGCGTTTGCATTAAATGTAAATCCTTTCTGACGATCGGCTATATTTATAAGATGTAATATATTTATTCGTTCTCGCGTATCTATCACATTTTAAGTGTTTAAGTGTTCTTAAAAGCGTTAAGTCCGTACATGTAGCAGTATACTTAGTCGCACGTTTATGTAAACGATTCTGAACATAAACGATAGTATGACGTTCATCCACAGAGTAGTAAAAGGCTATAAACGTTTTCTTTCCTATAGCGTAATATGTCAATGATCATGCTACTAAGCACCACCATGAAAAATATAGTATCAACAATTACAAGAGAGGCAGATGATAAGAACAAGATTTAGCACGACAGCGTACTATTTTTTTTTACTATTAATAACTATGATAATGATGATAATAATAATAATAATAATAATAATAACCCAAGCAGAGGATCATTACTGGGTACGTTTTTATATTATTAATTTAACGTGATAAACCAGACACATGCAGTCTTTTCATTGCTGTATCTATTTACAAGGCAGACAACAACCAATAATAGTGAATAGAAGGTCAATTAGTATGATCAAAGATCATTGTTATAGAAGATTGTTAAAAGTGAAGTGTAAAGTGACCTTGGGCTACGGAAAGGCGCTATATAAATAAAACTTCTTCTTCAAAGATGTCTGCATAAGAGGAGGAAATATATTTGAAGAGGATGGAGAGTAGGCTACCTTTAAGAATTTAGAGAAAACAGGGATCTCCCAACATAAAATAAGTGCTTTATTTACCAGAATATTTCTATAGTTAATATATAATTAAGTATAGTTAATAATAATAATAATAATAATAAAATTAATCTTGTTAAGGACGCAAGAATACCCACGGATGCTGACATCAATTAGTTGCTTTATATTTACGGCTGAAGGGGTGATATGTGTGTATTTGTGCTGGGGACGTTGCAGGGGGGTTGACTGAACAACAGACACACGCACCGCACACACGCATTCACATGTGCAAACAAATCGTACACACAGACACACGCAAACAAACAAACAAACAAACGTACTAGATTCCCACAAGGTGGAATTTTAATAATAAACTCAGGCCTGCATAAACCTATAATTTCATATAAACATTCAGATCAATCAAATAAACATTTGACCAAATTCAGCCTATTACAGTGTAACAGAAATAGTAATTAAAAAAACACAAAATTATACTTTTTTTTTCAATTTTTTATTATTGTTTATGTTGTGTTTGTTTCGTATTATTAAATAGCCCTTTATCTTCTATACTCTAGATGTGACCAAATGAATTAACCTACAACAATATGCAATATATGCGCTATTATTTCACGCCAAAATGTACAAGTGAATCAGACATTTTTTTGGAGAACATCCCTAAGGATTATTGGTCGACATTAAGTGTTTGTCGCATAGGATATAATAATAGCTGTTGCACATCACACATTATTATTGCAACCATACATTAAACTTTCCAACAAAAACAAAAATCTGGCACCAGTTGCACAACCGGCTATAATCATTTATTATGACATCAATGATTGCATATAGACCCGTTTTATCAACGCACATCCCACATGTTGCTTTTAATGTACTTTGATAAAGCTATTGACCCTTCCAAGCCGAAGGGAAAATAACAATTTGAGCGGGTAAGATTGTGACTCAATCATGTTAAGTTGTTTTTATAACTGATATGTTTGTAGCCCACTTTCAGCAAACAAGATGTTAATGTCTCTTTAGTCCCTGTCTGACTGCGACCAAAGTGGACAATACGTGCAAAAAAAGAAAAAGAAAAAGAAAAAAAAAAATCTTTGCGCTGATCAAACCGAAATAGGTAGGCTACACGGATAATGCACAAGTTTTCAAACTTCTCTCATTTGATTACAGTTGTTCCCACATACACCTTTAACTAGCCTAAAGTGCATTTAGCCCGTATTCACAGCACAAAATACTAGCTACTATTGATATATTTTATAATCCATATCAAACCTGAGCCTTCCGCTGCTACTGCAAAGTTCAGGTTGGTTTGCGACCGTTAACAACATGTAGCCTACAGGCCTGAGCATTAGGCTATTATCATCCCGTTAATTACATAAACGTGTGACATTATTGTATTTGATGTAGCCTAACGTGTTTGATAATTTGTCATAGGAAATATAAATCGGTAAATTTTATTATTATTTTCTATTAACGCTGGATCATAAGATATCAAAACTAAGGCCACGTCTTGTGCTAACGAATTATAAACTAAACGAGAGGGGTTTTATTTTTAATATATTTTAGTATTTATTTATTTGCATTGGACCAACCTATATGCATGTAGCAATATAAAGTAAAATGTTGATGGTTCTTTGAGTATAAAAACAGTGTTTGATATTTTCTGAAATGTTTAGTGAAATTATTACCACTAAAAATGTCCACTAATATATTAATTTTGGCTATAACATCCCATTCAGCTTTTACCAACAGCAGAACGGTTGTGTTGATAGGTTGATAAAGTTATTTTTGCACAGTGATGTGGCCTCTTCCTAAAAATGACTGAAATGTTCATGAACACGTCGCTTAAATAAACACAGTTGTCACTTACCTTAACAACCATACGCCTGTGTTGAAATGAGAACTGATAAACAGGGAGGTAATCCTGCACAAAGTCAGACCTGTCTTTTGTAGCTTGTGTCTTTATTATAGTGCCCTCTAGCGGCCAGGAAAATTTACAGCAAATCTTCTCTTTTGCGCTTAGACTTTATACAACAGATAATGGGCAAACTCGATGTATATTTTTTATTTTAACAAAATATATATAATTTTTTCAATATAACAAATTTTATTTATTAATTTAGTTTTCCAACAGGCTACTAAATAATTTAACCATCTCAAAGGGTCGAAATTACAAAACCCATGCAAAAATGTATCTCATAGAGCCAGCTGGTGAATGATTTAAAGTAAAACTGACTTTTCGCTTTGTAAAGCCAAATAAATAGGTAAACTGATACATTTTAAGTATAGTCTACTTTTCATACGCTCTTCAAGCCTATCTTTAAAATATTGACTTGAATGAAATTTTGACAAAACAAAATTCGTATATGCATTTTGTGCAGTGTTTTAGCCTACAATAGGCTATTTCTTCAATCGAGATATTATTTCCGATTGTTGCCTAAAAGCAATATATACATAAAAACAATGCTAGACGTATTTACTCATAATATGCCAGTTGTCGAAGACGACCACAAAATTGTTCACAAAATTTTCACTGACAATACAAATTAAATCGTGAATCATTTTGATTATGCATTATTGTTGTGCAATGCAGGCATCATAACTAATAATAATGATAATAGACTAGTAATAAGTTTTATGTTAAAAATAGTTCAAAGTTGTAAATATTCGGTAATAGTCGTGAGAAGTATGCATCATTTTTTGCCTTTTACTGTTACAATTAAATTAAGTGGTATAACTTGTTTCTGAATTATCCCTAAAATGATCAAATGTTTATAAACTCGAACACGATGGCTACTTGTGGGGGGTGGATTTTCTTAAGGACTGAGAACAATCGTTTTTCATAGTCTGTAGCGCCATCGTGTGGTAGCTCAACTGACAGCATAATTGAGTCATCACGAGGAAAGCCTTATAAACAGTCAAATTACTTATTTATATGATCTAACTGTATATAGGTTGCACTATGCAAAAGTGAGACCAAAAGTTTTTGATAAATTCATGATCGAGCACAGATAATATTATCAGACTTTTTTTTTGAGATACTACAACCATCCTAAGTCTAAATGTATTGAAATAATATTTAACTAAATGTAAATGTAATAATTGTAGACCTGTGAACACAGTAAGCACAGCTTTTCCTAGTTTTTTTGTTCTTATTAACTTTAGGACAAAGACACATGCAGAATTATTGATGGCAGTAATATTTGATTGTTTACTCATGTTTAGAAGGCAATAATCATGAAACTTTTTGTTCCATTTTACACACTTTTGCTGAATCCACCCAACAGCATGCATCTTTATCAGCATTATAATCTTTAAATACAATCAGAATTAAGCAAATTATTTTTACTCATATACCAAAAATATATATTCATATATGAAAAAAAACAATGATCTGATGGATTTTAGTTTTAGGTTTTAGTTTTAATTCTATACACATATTAAACAATTATTGACGAGCTATCATTGCACATCTGTAATCCCCCCCAAAAAGTTAGATCAGCAGTATTAGTTTTACAGAATATTAATTCTATCAAATAATAGCAATAATGTATAATAGTAGATTTAAATATAAATAGCTATTAAAAGAAGTCAATTGTCGACTATTGCCACATCAAGAGAAGGTCAAATCTGTTATGAAAAAGTTATTTTTTTTTTAATTTCATAAAGACACTCCTGTTTTTGGATTTGTCCTTGGCTCCATTCTCAACCTGGTTTTGTGGTGGAGGTGGTGGGGCATACGAGGGAGGCTGGTTCCTCTGTAGACTTCTTACATTTTGGGTCACACTCACTGAAGAGATTAAATTTATTTTTTATTTTTTATTCTGTTTCAGAGAAACCATTGACCATCTGATGAGAGATAAATAAATCTTTATCCATCAAAATAACATTAAAAAGAGATTTTCATTTTGATTGACCACATTGTTGCATTTGAAAGTCATTTACGATTACAATCCA